AAGAAAAGATATCTAAATCAGGAAAGAAGAAGTGAAACTACCCGTTTCACAGACAACATGAGTCTATATATAAATAAACCAAACCCCCTGCTGTCAAGTTGAATTCTGACTCATAGTGACCCAATAGGAAAGAGTAGAACTGGCTGTAAATCTTTACGGAAGTGGACTGTCACATCTTTCTCCCACAGAGCAGCTAGTAGGTTCAAACCACCAACCTTTCAGTTTGCAGCTGAGCATTTAACCACTATACCACAAGGGCTCCTGATCCTACAGATAAAAAATCAAAAAAATCCCAAAAGAAAGTTACTAGACTAATAATGAATTCAGCAAAGTGGCAGGATATAAGGTCAACACGCAAATAAAAGTCAGGTTTCTGTATATCAACAATGAGCACTCTGAAAAAGAAATTAAGCAAACATTTCTAGTTACAATAGCATCTAAAAGAGTAAAATACCTAGGAATAAATTTAACCAGGGAGGTAAAAGACTTGTACACTGAAAACTGTAAAACATTACTGAAAGAAATTAAAGAAGACCAAAATAAATGGAAGGACATCCTGTATTCATGGTTTAGATTAAATACTGTTAAGATGTGAATACTACCCAGAGCCATCTACAAGTTCAACACAACCCCCATTAAAATTCCAATAGCCTTCTTTGCAGAAATGGAAAAGCCAATCCTCAAATTCATATGGAACTATAAGGGGCACCGAACAGCCAAAGCAATCTTGAAAAAGAACAAAGTAGGGAGAGTCGCACTTCCCAATTTTAAAACTTACTATAAAGCTACAGTAATCATGACAGTGTGGTATTGATATAATGATAGGATTACATGCCAATGGAATAGAACTGAGAGTCCAGAAATAAACCCATACATCTATGGTCAAGTGATTTTTGACAAGGGTATTAAGTGCATTTAATGACAGAAATAGTCTCTTTAACAAATGGTGCTGGGACAACTGGACTTCCAAATGCAAAAGAATAGAGGTGGACCCTCACCATATACCTCACACCATACACAAAAATTAACTGAAGAAAGATCAAGGACCTAAATGTAAAAGTGAAGTCATAAAACTTAGAAGAAAATATAGGGGTAATGCTTCAGGACCTAGTTTTCAAGAACTGAATTCTTAGATATGACACCAATAGCATGAGCAACAAAAGACAAAATAGATAAAATGGACTTCATCAAAATTAAAATTTTGTCCATCAAAAGACTTTATCAATCAAGTGAAGAGACAACCTATTGATGAGGAGAAAATTTGGGAGAATCACATATCCGATAAGGGTTTAATATCGAGAATATGTAGAGAACTCCTACAACTTAGCAACAGAAAGAAACAACCCAGTCAAAAAAAATGGGCAAAAGAATTAAGTAGACATTTCACCAAAGAAGATATACAAACGGCCAACAAGCACATGAAAAGATGCTCAATGCTATGAGTCATTAGGGAAATGTCTATCAAATCACAATGAGATACCACTTCCCACCCACTAGGATGGCTATGATCAGAAAAACAGGAAGCTATGTGTTGGCAAGGATGTGGAAAAACTGGAACCCTCAAACACTGCTGGTGGAACTGTAAAATGGTACAGCCACTGTGGAAAACAATTTGCAGTTCATCAAAAAGTTAAATGTAGAATTATTGTATGAC